TTGTTCGAAGTACTAAACCATCTGTCACAACTTTATAACGGGTATGATCTCAATCGTTCCTGCTGAAAGAAATAATATGTGTATATAGGTGAAATTAAGTTGTTTTGGTTGAATAACACTTGCATGAACTGTTTAAACTTACTTCTTGCTGTTTTGCGCATATATGGTGTGTGTGTAGAAAATAATAATGTGACGTAGTGCTATTATAATTATACACAGAACATTAATTGAGAACGCCCATGTCAGGCAATATACACAGTTATAACGAAAGTCTTTATTCTTAACTAATCCCCTCGAAATCACAAATATAAAATGTGCGTTTTAGTATTGCATTACAAGTCAACAATACTTGAAACCAGACGAAGGGTTAGAGATAGTAACAGTGCAAAGACACGTGTGGCTGAGAAAAGATTTGAATAAGTTAACCAATACACTTGGGCTCTATCACTGAAATAGCATACTTTTTGTAACTTACATCTTAAAGATGGATGGAAGTATTGGGGATATGACGACCTCTGCGATCTGCATATTTTGGACCAATTGTTATTATCATAATTCAACCATGTATTTACAAGCATTATTTACCTGTATTTACGGTATATTCACCATGTATTTCCTGGATTGCAAATACAGCTGAATAAAGGCATAAATACAGGATATGTATTTTCACTTAATCACGTGTATTCACGTGTATTGTCGGCTTGTATCTCCCTGTATTTACCGTTAATTATGACTATAATAAGTGTCAATATTTGTGTGTATTTTAGCTATTTCACCCAGCGCAATAATACAGTGAAAATCGTATTCAATATTAGTGTGACAGTGAACACAGACTTAACCTTAAAGGGGCAATAAAGAACACAGAACAACGGTTTACCCACTTCTTGGTTGAATCAAGCTTCGCCCATTCCTGAAAATAGTAAATAGTAATTTTGACATCATGCGCCAACAATGTTCATCTCTTTTTCGTTTCTCTGAATTAATTATTTTTAGATTCTTTGCGATGGATCATACCACAATGCCAGCCATAATCTGGTTTCTGTTTTACTGCATGACGTCACGAATACTCTCAGCTTACGGGCAACAAAATGGTAAGCATTCGTGTAGATGTAAATGCAAATTTTGTGAAAGTGACGACATCTTGTTTTTTTTTTTTTTCGGGCACTAACATTTTATCTGCCTTAATGTCCAACCCTTTTCGTGATCAGAAACGTAATGTCTGTATAATTTGTTGTGCAATGATTGTCATTGCAATTTTTAATAAACAGATGGTTAAATTAATGATTATCTCCAATATTCTAAACTACATGTAGAACAAATAGTTAATTATATGTCTGATGCGTGGGGAATCTGAGAACATGTAAACGTTGTATTAACAGTGTGTGTTGTTTTTGTTGATTTGTACAGGTGGTTACGATGCTCAACAACATGGTAGTGAAGCTGAAGAAGGCGGTGGACTAGGTACATAATGGGTGACTTTCCGTTCACTGCGCGTATTGAGTGAAATATTCGTTGAGATACATTGTATCGGTACTTCATCAAAATTGGTCAAATGTGTATAGCACATTATTGAGCGTTTGAAGAGCCCCACGCGATGTTCACTACGCCACAGCGACTCGGACGCCACGAAATTTGTTTACCCTGATTTTTTGGTTTCGTTTCGTTCGATTTCACGCATAACATGGGATCTCTAGTTGAATGGACCGAATCGTTTGGTAAACTCTCGTGTTCTATATTTTCCCCGGGAATAAATTCATTTAACTGAATTACATTACAGTGAATTTCACTGGCAACACTTTATTTTTTCAAAATGAAATATTTTGTCCATGCTTATTTCATTTATGCACGAAATGTGTGATAATGTAGTATTGTGATGATAATATAGCAGGAAAACGTATGCATATCCCACGATAATACGTTTTCCTGCTATCATTGAAATTCACTGTAATGTTATTTAATGAATTACATTACACGTCTTGTGACGTAGCTCCGCCCCGAGGATATTTGACGTCATTACCTTATATCACTTTTTATACCATTTGCAGATCCTATAGTAAAGATAATGATACCCGTGGGGATAGGTGGCGCTCTTCTGTTACTTGTTTTCATCCAACGGTATTGTACAGAGGAGAAACCTCCCAACGAGACACAAGAGGAAGGTGAAAACAAACATACGTCGCATGGCATAGTTAGAGGGTCTCAGTTTACCAGTACCATGTCTATTGATATGGAGACCGAGGAATGTGGATCTGGAATGGATGATTAAAACAGGATAATGAGATTTCATACTCGGCTTTGTTTCCGGAGAAAGAAAAATAAAAAGAACAATTTACACATTTACAACAACATTTGAAATATTCGTGATTTATTTTTCGGTGGCCGTCGTTGCAACGCGAATGCGTGTTGGTTTAAATCGGGGGAGTCGTCACCCGCGCATGCGTCAGATGGCCATAGCGTGCCACTGTTTACAAACAAGCGTCTACCCATGGGTCTTTGCGTTTTTAGCGTATGTTGTTATCGTCGCTTGGGACTCAATTCTCGCGCGTGCGCAGGTGACGACCCTCCTGCTTGAAACACTCAATTACAACGGGCTGTACACGTCACATGGAACTCACAATGATCTTGTATTATACCGTGATCATATCACGGTGCGTTGCGACGACTTCCACCCGTTTAATACAACATACGTGATGTTTTTTTCAGCGATTGTTATTCGACTTTGGACAGGAGTAAGTAAAGTCACAGTCCCTCAAGGAGGGACTGTGGTAAAGTAAAGCAATCCTCGGGGGCGGACCCACGTCACAGACGTTCCACGTTGCTAAGACGCGCACCACTGTACCATGCATTTCTATGGGCTCTGTGCGCGCTGCTGTAGAACGCCGGTCGAGCCGGTGAAAATTTGAGAAAACAACACAAACTCAACTTTGAAGTAATCCTGAACAACCAAATTTATATATGTTACACACGTAGGGCTAATCTTGTTACACTGTTCGGG